AGCATCCTCCAGATTGTATAAACTGAAGACATGCGCTCAAACAGAGTGGTAAAAAGTGATTGTGGAGTTCTTTCAGGCAATGCAGGGCATAAATTATTCATTGCGAGCAAGGAAACCCATCCTACCTGCATTATATGTATAAGGAGTATTATACATGTCTGTGTCATCATCTAGAAAACGAAACATAAATATTATGGTAATACACATTTGGTCACCATATCATAATAAGACAGCAGAACTTTAGAGAAACAACAGAAATTTTTTAGAAAACGAATGTATTTTGCCTAGCTCATACCATTTAAATGTTTTTCAAGTATTTTTTTTGCTGGCCTCTGCAGTTTGACCTCTCTTATCTGTAACATATTTGCTCTGCTGTCCTCTTCACAGCATACAAGGTCAGTCCCTTTACCTCATTTCCTCAGGCGGCCTTCTCTTCTGGATCATAAGTTTCCTTTTGTAAGTGCTTTAAATATCTTTTGTCAAGTCAATGAGACCTAGCTATGCCCATTCCCTGGATAAGGAACAGACATACGTGGACAGAGGAATAATGAGTCTGTCTAAGCAGACAACGCGACACACCGGTTTAGATTGTGGATCAGGAAGGACGAAGGGGAGAGACCAGAGCACCTGGCACCCCTTCAAGGTCACCTTATAAAAAGCTTCTTGGCAGATCTGTGGTGGGGCGGAACAGGTATCTGTGATTTGAAGGGTGATGTAAGGAAGGATGTTGAAACGAGTGAGGGCCGTGAAGTTTGCTAGGGTCCTGACATTTTGCATGAACCAGAACTATACAAAAGGCGAGTATACATAGACATCCTTCAACCCACACGGACCTGATCAGAACACAGAACAACATACATACCTGGCTTGTGCACCATGTGGATTTGCTTAAACATTGTCTTGTACCAGTCCTTCGGTCTGTCAACTGTCTGTAAAAGAGAATGTCCAATAGTTACAAATCTGCTTCCAAATAAAAACATTGTTCCTCAATGTTTTCCTATCTATATTTTATCTTTTTTAATAGCAAATTTCTGTGATTTAAAAAAAAAACCAATTTCATAATGACAATACCAGTAATTTATCCAGCTATGCATGCAGTTTGTAAATATATTACCTTTTGTTGCATTTAGGCTGAATTAGAACATTATGTATAATGGTTTTATTTTTTCCAAATCATAGTTGTGCCCAGCACTAGACAGTTAATATTTGCACAAACATACTTAGGTAAAATTTCACTGATAACTATCATTATCTTTAAAACATTATAGTGAGTATTCTGTTCAAGACATTATTTTTAGAATTAACTAGGGAATATTTTTGACTAAAATTGTATTCTGGTAAATTTAGAGAAATAAAAATTTGATATTTTTTAGTCTAAGTTAGTAAAATACTAAATGTAGCGACACAATCCAGAGTCTGAGAGCAAATCCAAAAATGTAGATATTGTTTCAAAATTTTTTAGCATGATAATAAAATGTACACAACATTTGCCTTGCTAAATTGTAAATTCCTTGGGAATAGAAGCTCCTCCGTATGCAGCCCAGGCTTTTGACATGATGGAAACAGTGGGCTGTGGTGGAACTAGGACATTAACATCAGATTAACCTATACTCAAGTCTTAGTTCCATTAATTACTGTTTCCGAGCAATATGAATTTCAGCAAGTTAGGTAACCTAGTAGAGCTCTAGCTTTCTCCTCTGTAAAATGAAATAATTATATCCATATCATAGGGTTGTTATGGGAATCGAATGAGGCGATGTATACAAAAAGATCTAGAATATATGAAATGCTCAATTAATAATAACTGTAGGAAATAGCAAATGTTCATGGAATAAAATAATGAATGAATCCAGGTTATTGGATGGAACTCTACCACATTGCATACCTGTGAAAGGAGACATATACTTTTATAATCATAACTAAAGATTTTGCTTGGCAAGATCTTTATCTTGCCATTCCCAGAGCTACTAGGGTGAGATGCTCAACCATTCTGTGTAGAGTAACTAAATATACCAGATTTTCTGAGACAATTCTCTTGATATAAAATATTGTGTTAGGACTGCCACAAAAATATTCTTGTATTTGTTAGACTGAGGTTTGGTTTCAATTTTATATCCTGATTGTTGTCTCAGAACCATGGTCATTGCATTTTTCATGTGGACATTGAGGGTTTTGTGCTATATCTAAGTTTATCTTGGTGTCTAAGAAAATATGATTCTCTAAGAAAATAATCACCACAAATATAGATTAACATTAAGGGCTCCTTGGCGTTGTTGTGAATCCCCTCTTCATTCATTCTTGGCTCTTTCTACAATGGACCAATGGAGGGGATTGTTGATTGACCTTATATTCAAATGGTGGGAGCTGGCGGGAGTGGGTGCAGTAGAGAAGCAGGAGTCAAGCTATTATTTGCTGGCTTAAACCAAGTTATTTGAATAAGAATCTTCAAGGGACATTTATTTTCATGAAAGGTCAATTTTTCTTCATTAAGCTTTATTCCCTTTACAGTAATTCAGCACCAGAAAATAAGACATAACCTTGTGCAAAACTTTTCCAACCATACCTGGACACAACCAATGGCAACAAGGACGCCTAATAAGTAAGTTATATCACTGTATATGGCAATGTATCTTGACAAACAGCATTTTTTTCTTCCCTTGCTGGAAGGCACACATCAGGCAGGATCTCAGTTCTGCCATCTGCTAGCTTTATATGGCGAGCACAGAGATGCCAGAAATGCCCAGGCAGTTGGCAACGGGCGGTAAGAGACTGGTAAAAGGGAATACTAAAACCCTGTGTCCCTTTCTAAAAGAAGTCCTCTAAGCATTTAAAATTCCTTTTACAAATGCCATCATGGAAGTTGTTATGGCTAGTACTAAAATTAAGTAAATAGAGCTCTACTCAAATTTGAGGACGTTTACGTCTGTGTGTTCTTCGAACTTGTTTTACATGGACAGTAACTACTAGTAATTCGCGCTTCAGTTGTTCTCTATAACCTTAGCTGAATATACCTGAATGTTTACATTCTGATAGTTTACAGAACATCAGAGCTCAACATTCATTTATCATGCAAAGATTTCCAAAAAAAAGAAAAGCATTTATTTTCTATACACCAGTATATAGTTATTCTATTTTTTGCTCCTTTCCAGCTTGGAAAATGCTCAAATGGCATTGTATTTGAACTAGAAGAAAAGAGTCTTGTATTTTACTTAACTCGCTGGCTGTAATTAGACAATCTCATGGGACCTGAACCCTAGCGGTTTTTGTTGTTGTTAATAAGATGGGCAGTAAAAGGCTAACACAGACATCCCAGGTCACATGAGAGAGGGCAGTCTGGGAAACGGCTTCCCTTCGTTCAACTAACTCAAAGGTACATTTGTTGACTCCTGGTTTTCTAGAGTTTCTGGGTTACTTTACAAAATTGTTTCCTCAGTATATGCTGGTTGTCTAAAATGAGACTATAATATGATGCATTGAGACACTACTGCCTTTGGTGTATACACTTAGCGGAGAGTCCATGCGAAGCAATTTGAGTCTGATATCATTACTTTCTACACAGATGAGAAAGAAAAACAACCTTGGAGATTCTTGGCCTGCAGTGGCTCAGAGATGGCCTGACTCGACATTTATAAACACAGCTATACTTGGGATATGCTTGGCAAGGCTGGGAAATGGGAAATGTGGATAAGAGCCCTCACAGACCTATACCTTCTTTGCAGAGTTTTAAAAGCCTAAATAGGAGCACAACTATATATAAAAATTATGGTTCCTTATAAGGAACTTCTGGGTTGCTTATACTTTACTTTATATTTTACAGAAGGGAAACTTGTGTTTGTTTATGCTTATCTAAATATGCTTTTGATTTGGCAGTAGATAAACAATATAAAAATCTTAATATTTCTTGATTTTGACTATCTGCCTCTCATTTTTTTCCCCATTTAAAAACGAATAAGCAAGGCCTTGCTATTTAAGAGAATTATGTCTTATGGATTAAAAAAAAAAGGTCCAGCTTTGCATGTTCATTTTTATATATCATTTGTTGACTTAAAAACACACCAGAGGTCTCAGATAAAATCTTTTCGGCAGAATTTATAACTACATAGAATTAAGGATCTCCCAATTTGTGTATATACCGTGCTTCAAGGGCCAATGAAGCAAAACCCGTGACACTATACCTGTCTGACACTGTATCCTACATTATTTTAAAAAGTTCAAATTTAACCATTTGAATCAGAAACCTTAAAAGGGAAACAAATGACAAAACACTGTCACCAGAAACCTGTAGTCATCATAAGATTAAGAATGTTAGTCATGACCTCTGAACTTTTTCTATCACTTAAATATGACAATTATCAGTTCCAACATAGATTTTTCAGGACTTTATAATCAGTCACATTCAATGTTCTCAAAATTTAACGAATATAAAACCCACAGCAACTGCTATAAAATTTACTTTTTAGCTTCCAACTCTAATACTGATGCTTAGAATAATCAATTGTTAACTCTTCTCTCTGTATATAGAACACATAATCCCCATATAATAAATGCAAATTCAAAGAGAGAAGAACCCCTCCCCCCCCACACACACTTTGTCTTTAGTTCTCACTTAGTGTTTCCAATTGTGCCACTGCTTTTTTCTGATCTTTCTCATTCTTGCCCTCTATCCACTCCTGTCTTTGGTCCCCCAGGTTAGCATACCAGGACAGTAGCTCCTGGCAACATCCCAGCCAGGTATGTGGGTGTTGCAGACAAGTGTTCACAGCCTGAGCTCTATCCAGTCTCTCACCGCACCCCCCCCCCCACCCAATTTCACCTGAAAAGGTGCTGCTGCTCTCATCCTGGTTCCCATGTCCTCCTCCTTGCGGCTAGCACAAACCTTCTCTTCAAGTGGACTCGGTCAGCAAGCAGCTGCCTGCCCACACTCTCAATAGCCGCCTCTGCTACTGCTGAGCTTTGCCAGAAGGGGCTGCCCTGACACACTGAGCAATGTTTTGGCAGGGTTTAAAGACTAAAAAAAAAAATCCAAACACTTTCACTTATCATCCTGGAGAGCTCTCAGCAGGCACAGCTGAAGAGGGATGCTAAAATGTGTATTTTTCTTCAGTTTTTTCTTTCCACGACATTAACTCTCTTCACGCCAATCATCTCACCTCCCAACTCCCAATTCACAGCTCCGCATCTCCTGGTGTTAACACACATCCATGTCAAGAAACAAATCACTGGTGTATTTGCAATGCACGTGGGAATTCAATACAGGCACAGAATGCACATTTTCTCCTTCCTTCTCTTTCCTCTCTAGGGCCCTAACACTCCTTGGTAAAAGGTAAAATGAAACATACTTTTATCATTGGACAAAATCACAATTTTCATGATTTTTAATTAAAATGGAAAAATAGATAGTGTGATTCTCTCCAATTGACAGCTCTCCTCTGCCACGCAGCATTATAATATTCATGAGAACTCAGATGGCACCGAGGGCAATCCTCATTATATAATAAGGCCACAGGAATGCACAAAGCCACGGACAATCCATTCTTTGTCGAGTGTGTGCACAGCCCCGGAGCTGTGACGCGCACACTGGCATCTCCTACCGTTCTAATTGCTGTGGGGATTCCGGATTCGTCCACAGGCCCGATCCCCGGGTAATGTGGGGCTTTGATAACCGTCACTCTTTTCTCTTCCTCTGAGGATCTGTACAGCGGTATAGAGCCGTCCAGGGACTGTGCATGCTGGGGATACGCTTCTGTGGAATCTGAGGAGAAAATGTGGTGAAATGTAATGCATTGGATGCACAAGGAATCATAAGTTAATGGTGCCCCTTGTATATTTACGCCAACTGCAACACAGTCTATATTTCCATTTCGATTGCTTTGAACTCCTTTACCTTAAATGTAGTCAACATGGAGATGTATATTGAATAGACTTATAACAAGAAGACCTTCACCATTTTATGAAGGAGGGTGAAGGAAGAATAACATTTATTGGGAGACCTAGTGACTGTGTGGCAGCTACTGTAAGAAAGCACTTTACAAGCATTATCTCATCTCATCCTTCTATTCATCCTGGGGGGAGGGGGACCCATTGTACAGATGAGGGGGCAGAAGCTAAGTTTAGTAATTTTCATCATGTCATAGTTTACATTAATATTACTTTTGTGAAACTGCTAGCTACTGTTATTTAAAGTACTAAAATGTGCTCTTAGGACAAAAGATGTGACTGTTGAGTCTACGACAGCTATTTTATAAAAATAAAGTAAAAACAAAAATCGTATTAACAAATCTTCACATCCAAACATATACTTGGATATGAAGGCTTATGGGTAAATAAATAATTTAAAATTATTAGTATTAATTTTTATTCAAGTTGCCATGATGGCCATATCTTTGTTTTTACTTTGAAGCACCAAAACCCATGACGTTTTGCCCCTTGAGTACAAAAATTGCCCTAAGCACATAAATTAAATGAGTTTTATCATGCTCCTCCCTTCTTCATGACATCTTTATTAACTTTTAGTTTAATTTCTTAAGAAACAGAGAGGACTTAGTGTGGTTTTTTTTCCTCTCAGGTGGTTTGTACTACATATTTCACTTACTCTTAGTTTACAGGTATTTATGAAAATCAACAGCATCTATCCATCTGGTACAATTGATAATATAATTTCCTGTTTTTTCTACAATACATTTCAAATTTTTGGTGACTAAGAATGATTCTTTGCCATGATTTGTCAGACTTTTCCACTCAGAAAGTTCTGTTTTTATGTGGATGTGGGAAAGTGCTGATGTTTCAGGGTGGCATTGATTGATTATATGTATATATATGAGATATATGTATGTATCTCAAAAGATATGACTGTTTTTGTAGCAAATTTATATAAAACTTCATAAACAAGATTTTAACAATTTAACTCATCATTCTGAAGACATAAGGCCCTTGTAAGCTAAAATCCATTTTAACATTTATAACTGTTATTACTATTATTATGGCTATTTCCAATTTGGTTTGTAACAGAAAAGCATTTTCAATCCATTTCTGATGAAGAATGAATACAGCTAGTAATAAAACTGTTTTATGTGCCATTGTACGTAAAAGTAATTAATGTCCTTCCCAAGCAACTCCAAATTCAGATACAATGTGATATTTCACTCTGATTTTCCATTTAATCCCAAAAAGTGCAACCATGATGCTAGTATTTATATCAAACAGCAATTTTTTTAAGCACCTATATATACAAAGTCGCAACCTAAGCAAACAGTATTAACTCTGTCTTTATGTATGGTTCATAAGTCTATGAACTTATGGATTATATAAGTTAGCCTTTTATTATGTTCTTATATGGTCCACTAACTCTCATGTTTGTAGTCTTTCATTTTCAACTACATATAAAGTTCCTGGAACAAGACAGATTTGTATATTCTGCTCAGGACCTGTCTCAGCACTGGCCAACTAGATTTGTTGAATGTTTACTAGGGAATTTCTTTCTACGTAGTATAGTTTACATGTAAAAATCTACCATTGATGTGTTCTAATATAAAAGCCTATCTATAACACATTCTAGTAGTTATATATTTTGTTTGTTGGTGTGAGAGGGACAAAATTGTGTTCATTAAGAAAGGCAATGGGAACAGAGCCAAATAATAATTGATAATAACCACTTGGGAAAATATTATGGCTAGATTAATTTGTCGAGTTTTACTATAGATGTGTGATGATGTATAGCTCTGTTAAAAATCTAGATATAATAGGCTCCTATTATACTACACCATGGACTGATTTTTTTAAGGGCAATATTTTGGCACAAGGACATTGTACTTTTTTCTACCCTGAAAGGATATCATTATAAGATTCACAGATGATCCCAGAAACAGCATTGGAAAAGGCACAGGTATATTTAGTCTTTACTCTACTGAGCCCCAAGGCTACATGTAGGGTCTTATAGTTATGGCGGTTTTGTTGGCACAGATGTTGAGTTCCACAATGAACATGCTGAATGTCCCTGGGTAAACTAATAGCATCATGTTCTTTCAGTGCACTGTGTGGGGAAAGAGGGAGTGCTGCCTTCTTTCAAAGACGAAATGGGAGTTAAAACCCTGTGTTCCAGTTTCTTTCTCTCTATTGTTGGTTGGTGGTGGCCAGATGGGCCCTCTCCTACTTTTGTGAGAGGTATGCTGTGGTCACGTGGTCCTCCACCTTCCTCTCTGCTTCCTGCTGTTCTGGATACTCTTCCAATTGTTCAACATCATGAAACTTTTTTCAGCTTGAATTCAGATGATGGTTTGATTTAGTCTGTTTATTTTTTTAATGTTTTGGGGTTTTTTTTTTTAACATTTTTAGAAACTGAGAAGTATGTATTGCATTATTTTCTAAATATATTTTGCCACATAATATTGTTTCTATCATTATACAGCACAGTTTCTTTTCCAGGAAGCTTGAAAGAGTTCATGAGCCCCATGAAATTATGTGCTTAAAATTTGTTATGCATGTTCAAATGTACTTTTTTGTTTCTGGAGGAAAGCTATATTGTTCATCTAATTCTTAATTCCCAAAGGATTAAAAATTATGTCTTCATGAAATTCTGGAATCATCATTTAAAGGAACTCACATCTCTGGTCGATGGTCTTCTGGCCTCACTGTGAATAATAGTGTACTACTTTGTGAGGCAGTGGTTTAGTATTTACTACTTCATGAGGTAGCCTGTCCCCTTGTTAGACAAGTTTTAACTGTTAAGCAATTTTTCTTTATATATACCAAAAGAATTTTCTATAATGAAAGCTCTATCACAAAAAAAGGGCTGCCTAGAACATGGATAGTATTTGCCATCCGTGGAAATGCACAATGTGACTGTTCTGGTGGTGTGAACGCTCCTCTCCCTAACCGCCCATTTATTTCTTGCTACCCCACCACCCTTAATATCTAATAGCTCTCATCATCTTGGAATAGAAGCCAGTCATCGTCTTGAACTAGCTGGGTGCCTACTTCTTCCAATGTTGAATCCATGTAGTCCCTAATTCCTCCTCTAAGACAGGATCATTAAAAAGTGAGGTGTACAATGTTTCTTCCTCCTTTTTGAAAAATTACTTTGATGCTTAAGTTTTTCTTATGTGGTTTATACTTGCTATATTGAAGTTGTCATGAAAACCATGACAATTAAATGACTTACCAAGTGACCGGCCATGCTGCATGATAATGCTTGAATTGAGTGAGCCTGGTAGAGAGTAGGCTGAAGGGGAAAACGGCCTTTGATAGTAACTCATTGGACTCACAGCACCTCCAGAGTTTCCATTCACTGTTATCTGGCTCTGAGAAAAGTATAAAACATCACATTAAAGCACATAGTCTACTGTAAACATGATTCCTTTATATGACAATGAAAGACTTCCATTCAAATGACTAATCATCTGTCAAGTTTTTATTCACTTTGAAAATTGATGCCTACAGGGACAGGTTACATATCTTCCATGTCTTCTTTATCTTCCTTTATTTCTGAAAATCACTCTCTTATATGTCAGAGGGCACAGGAGGTAATTAAGAAAAATGGAAGCAGCTGACTAATGGCATGCCACTCTGCCAACCGAGATGCCAAAAGGTATCAGTGGGAGTCAGTGTAATATAAGTGTGAAGGGCAAATTTGTTTTTACAGTCTTGAGTTAGGTAGTCAGAACTCTTATCACACTGCTCTGTATGCAGGATTCGAAATGAATGTTCTTTGCCTTGAGGAAAGGGATTGGTTCTCAGACATAGTCAGGGATATCCTCTGGTGAATAAATGTTTCCAGGGCAAGGTGATTAATATAAGGAACACAGTTGTTTGGATTTATATATCATAAAGCAATCTATTCTAGAAGAATCAAAAAGACATATTAAACCACAGGATTCTCCCTCCTCCAATCTCATTGAGAGCACTTTTTGGATTTCTGTTTGGTTCCTTAATAATTTATTGTTTTTATTACTTTATACCTGAGTATTTTATATCCCCAATCGTATTTCAAGCTTCTTGTTGGAGATAGTCACATATATGCTTCTTTTATAACACGGGGCATGGTGCTAATAACAGTAGATATTCAATAGATACATACTATTCTAATTGAATTGAATCAGCTCAGTTCACAGAGGTGGAGATCACCACTATTAAGCATGCCTACCTAGCCACAACACAGCACTGAGCACTGTGGAGATTACATAATGCATGCCATGAAACAAAACATTAGTAAACATTTAGTTAAAATGGCCTTACAGCTGAATACACACAAACACACGTGCACACCAACAAAGAACCAGAATTTGTGAACTTTTTCTATGTATTTTAAAACAAAATACACTTCTGTTATACAGGCCTGAAACATACATGCACAATTAATTGCATGGTTCCATGATTTTTCACCTTAAAACAGGTATGTTGTCCAATGACCTAGAATAAACCTAATTTCGTTACTTCATAACCATATCACACCTGTCCTAAAGTCAATAAACGTTTCATTATGATGACTGTGCTTACTGATTAAGTACTTCTCTAAGCTGTTACAAAAATCACTCTCATATCATAAGCTCCCATATCTTGAGGATCTTCTACCTGAAGAACAGTGGACATTCAATTAAGTGTGAGGCACTGGCTTACCCAAATGCTTCAGAGCCCTTATTTACCTTTGATGAGTTATTTGAGAATATTTTTGCCTCCTAGCCCAAATCAAATTTGGCTGATCTTCATAAATATAATTTTAATGCTATTGTCTTAATGTGTTATAATTAATGTTAAAAACAGGAGAAGTAAAAACAATCATGTTACCATGTTCCTAAACTTAGGAAAGTTGCTCTGAATCCTATTTTGTCTATGACAGTGCTTATTTAAAACTTCATTATAAAATCAATTTTTTAGAGAAAAAAAAATCCCATTTTTGGCCTAAAGTTACATGTCTTTCAAATCAAAGTCCTTATCTATACATTATATGCAATTGAAAATCTGTGCCATAAAATTATGGAGCATGTTAGCCATTCATAAATCATTTAATAGTGACTGCTTGTCATATAGACATATTTAAATGATGTAATAAATATGAGACATATATGTTGCTCTAAGTGGAAGATAAGTTTATGATATATAAAACAATAAATATATTCATAAATTTCTATACTGGAATGGCTCAAGAAAAATAATTCCAGAAAACCACAGGGCTCAATTTCTGCAGTGTACATTATTTACATCATTCACTCCTGTAAGACAGATGGGTTCAAAAGATGTAGGTGTTACGAAGAGGGAGCAGGAAGAGTTAGCGTCATGCTGTCAATAACTGTGTATCTGAGAAACAAGGATACATAAACTATTCACACAGGACACATTCATAGGAATCTCTGAGGTAAACTGTTATCTACCAGGACCTAAATTTTTGAAAAATTTTACTTTCTCTATGATCTAATCATCATAATGTTTTAGGTATACTTATCTAAATTTCTGAGAATACTTCTTATTAAGGCAAATCACTGTACAACTCATTAGCTAGAGCAACACAGTGTAAAGTAAACATAGGTAACTCTGAAATGAAGAGAATCTAATTGACTTTTTCAGCCCAAAGTAGGCTTATGAGGATGACTGCAATGGATTTCCCTGATGGACTGTAGAGTTTCAGTTTACTAGTAATCAACACCTATGCGAATAAAAGTGTTCAGCAGTAAAATGAGATGTCTGATAAGAAATCAGTCCTTTTGGCCTTTGGTGATGTTTGAAAAAATGATGGATTCAAAGGAAGGAAGAATAATTATACGCATGGCAGCATGGGTGGCTAAGGTGGTGCCATCTGTCACGGCAGACCTCTGACCCAAGGTTGGTGGAGAAGGTGTTTCAGAATGGTCAGTGGTGTCCATTGATGAGCTATCTGCAGCTCATCTGGATGGCCGGGGAGCCCGGCTCGAGGAGCAGGAGGAGTCTGTAGTGAGAGAGAATGTGGTATTGCCAGGGACAAGGTGGTCAGGAGCAAAAGATGGGGTTTATATAAACAGTGTGAAAGGGTCAGAGGTCTGTGGCGGTGTAAAGGCCTAAAGTCAGCAGGTGGGGACAGGGTAAGTGATGCTGGGCTGGGGCCTCCATCTGGTCAAAACGTATTTTGGTTAAAAAGTACCAGAGGAGGAGGACACGAAGAAAAGGCTGCTGGTGTGGCTTGTCTGTGTGTCCGCGAAGCATTTACTGCCATCACACTGGCGGTTAAGCTCTGGTGTCCAAGCTGAGTTTGAAGAAAAAATAGTAAGAGGAGATATAAATTATCCGATGAATAAAACATCTCTTTTTGTAATGTGGCAGAGAAGGCAAAGCATCAATTTTAATTGAAGCACTTTAAGGAAATACGTTGAGAGGATTGGGTACCAAACATACAGTACAGAAAAAGCACGAAAACATGAAGAAATCTAATAAGTGGGGTTTTTTTTTTTTTTGGAGATGAGTTTTCATACAGCACTGCACTGTAATTTTGGATGGTCACTTGAGAGTGTTGGAAAAATTGGATTTTTTTCCTCAGAAGTTTTAGTTTTTGTTCTTGTGATAGTGAAATGCTATCAGGTTGTCTGTTAGTCAGAGCAGAATTAGTTTTCCCTTGACTAGAAAAATTTTGTAGCATACCTACTCTCCCCAAATGTCCCCAAAATACAAAACAGTTTGTCTTAGTTCTTTTTCTGACTTACAGATATAAAGACTGATCAAACTAAAAACAACTAAATGGAAAGGGAATTTTGTTTCCTTTGCACTTATTGAATCTCTTTCTTGATTTCACTATAAAACACTAAAATAATCAAACTCTAAAATATCCTAGTACTGCAAATGGTAGTACCTATGTGTGAAAATGAAGTGAAAAAGAAAACCAGCCACGGATGATAGTTAGAATATACCCTAATTGATTAGAACTACTGTTGGTTTTATTCTTAGGTAAAGGAGAAGGAAACCGAAGGAGGAAGGAAAGATTTAATACCTCCAAGGCTATATAACCCAAGAGGCTAACCGTGGTGGAGGGATTGGCTATAAAAAGGAGAGAGTGGATAGCCCCATTAAAGGTTTTGTAGCTATCCATTCTAACCTTGACAATGTCTGTCCACAGGTCAAAATAAGCATCAACCTCATAATGAGTGAATGAAACTCTGGAGAAAATTTTTCTCTTACTCCCCCATATCTCCAGAATAGAGGTTTTTGGAATGTTTGGTGTGGTGCCAGGTGTAAGACAGGTAGCCAAAAGTATGATAGTATATTAATACAAGGATGGGGGATGAATTAAAGAGAACTGTATAAACTTAGAAACCTTGCCTAGTAAAAATTGAAGTGGTACCATTTGTTGTTCTTGGCCAGCCATCATTTTCAATAACAGTTGATATCAAGCAAGCTGTTGAGCTCATAAAAAGCCATAACTGATTTTTTCCTCAGACTTTTAATTGAATGTTTTTAAAAAATCCACCATATAAAAAGGTCTCTCATGGTCATAGGTACCTTAAAAAATATGACGAAAAATATTGTTCCTTCTCTTAGGAAAAATGCACAACAAATTCATGTAGGTATATATAAAATTCTGCATAAATTTTAGGGGCTCATAGATACTCTAAAGCATATCCTTAATGTAACAGATTAAGAAACCCTAACCATGGATAAAAAGATTTCCTTCTCTTATTTTTATTTAATAAGCATTTTTGTTGTTGTTTAAATATACACTTTATAAATGTGATACTTTTTTACTGTACATGGTTTTAAAATCTCTAGAAATAACTGACAGAAACCTTAGTTACTCAGAACTTAAAATATTTTAGTAGTAATTTCTTATAACAATTGCAGGTTTGATTGGAAGTAAAATTATAAAAGTATGAAACTATAATAATTACAACTTAGTATTTTAGAGTTTTGCTACAAATCTGGATGGAATTCAGTACAGGGCTGTCTTGGGTTGGATAGTGTCAATGAACTTTCTCATAATAATGCAGTTTCACTAAAGAGGTTTCCATATTAACATGAATCTCTTTAGTTTTGCTTTTGCTAAATGAAAATTCTGTTAAATAATATAAATCATGCAGAAGGATTTGAATTATCTGCTCAAAGGAAGTTTTTTATTCCTTTAAAACTAAAAGTAAAAAAATCGAATGACTGTCACCCTCATGGAATTGAGTTGCCCATTTCCTTTGGACTTCAAACATGTCAAAAGCTAAAGCATATTCTCTTTAAATCACCTTTGTTGTGGGTAATATGATCAGCTTGTACAGCATTGGGTCTAGGAATGATCTTTATTGATTCATTTATTTACCTATTGCACTTTAAAAAGTTTTTCTTACCACCTCCTGATAGCTCACAATTTTGAGTTTTTTTGTAAATGTGTGTGTTTGTGTGTGTGTAATGGATGACATGCCTCTAGGTGAGTCATACCACATTTACATTTCTATAGATAAAACTCTAAAGTTCAACAATCTATTGGTCACTCACACAAAAGCTTTGAACTATTTTGGGATAAAGATGTAAACTGTATTCCAAAGTAAAATTTCATATATATATAAACTAAAAGAATCCTAGAAATTTATTGATGAATTTCGTAGGGTTTTAAATAGGAAGATGGTTTCTTTCTCCTTTCCCTTCCTGATTGGATACTAAACAAAGCATTAGATTATATGAGAAGCCCAAAGCAAAGGAGTTAAGGTCTCGGCAGGACACCTGTGAGAAGAGATTGGAAAGTGTAATGTACCACCCGGCAGTCTGAAGACTGAGAGGCCGCAGCAACTGCAGATTTTTGTCTCTCTTGCTGAAGAGGTATCTTTGTAGTCTCTGGAGGAAGTTCAGGTAGCTGTTTGTGGCTTTCAGGATCATGTCCTGACAGGGGAGCTATCTGAATGGAAAGAGATGCTGTGTGTATCTCAGGCACTGGGTTAGGGGGCGGTGAGGGAGGCCTTTTGGCAAATGATGGTACGTCAACAGGTTTGGAAAGCTGTGGCGTATTAAAGGGCATGCTGCTTCCTAGATCCTGGTTATGGATTAGTTTCAATGTAGAAATTCTCTGAGTTTGAGAATCTTGCGTGTAGTCCTCTTGTAGAAACGGGCTACTCAGGTCAGCAGTTGGTTCGGGACCTGTGCTAGAAGTGGCTGGTAGCAGATTAGTAATTTTTTGTGTGTATGACACAGTTGTGTTAGATTCTTCAGAATATACAATGGTCTGGCTGGAATCATCTTCATTAGAATTCATAGCTCCCTGAAAAGGTTTTTTATTAGTAAAGTACTTGATACAGGAGGGAATTTGTGTGTTAGTTACTAACTGGTTTAAAATGTCACACTTTGTGTGATTGGTAATCAGGGGGCTACCAAAGTTCTTTTTTCTGGGCGGTAGAAGGGGTGCCTGGATTGCCAAGCATCCGGAGAAATAATGTTGAAGGAAAAACAGAGAGAAAGTCAAAAATTAGTCATTAAAGAAACCAGTGTTAACTCTACCCTTAAAGAAAGTAAAGCAATGTCATACCTTCTTACCATGCTATACGTTTTGTTGGCTACACTGAATTATCATTTTTATTCCATTTAGATTGTGTTTTATTTTATTATCAATAGCTGCCCTCTCGGGGAAAATAATTTTTATAGAGAATACATTATAAAGTTCATCTCCATCTACATTCTGGGAAATTAAGTTAAAAGTGCACATATGTTCCCTCGCATATTTTTAGACCTTGAGGTATATATAGAGGGTGCCAAAAAAAATGTATGCACATTTTAAGATAACATCTTAACATCTCTTAAAATGTGCATACATTTTTTTTGGTGGCATATTTAGTCACATTGTTTCGATAACACATTTTATGCTTGTGGCACAATTTTGCTAATATCTTCAACACAGAGTTCCTTTAGTTAATATAATAGGCAGCAGCATAACTCATATTTATTAAGTATATAAAGGATTGCTAGCCTCGTAACTTTGAAGTCTAAATCATCTGCTGACAGCTTTTTAAAAGCCAGAAAATACCCTAAACAGTATGTTAGAAACTGACCTGATTTTATCAGCTGAATCAGAAAAAAAAAAAGAACCTGTTTAGAACTTAAGACTTGTATTTGATATTGTACTGGTAAACACAAGTCTGACAAGCAATACAGATACAAAAGCAAAAACATATTAAAAAGAAAACATGTATTAAAATATGCACGTTACTAGAAAAGAGGCTCTAAAGCTGTGGTCTAAAACTTTGCTTTAAAATACCACAGTAGGGCCGGCCGAGTGGCGCGATGGTTAGGAGCTCGCTTGGGATGCCAGAGGGCCCCGGTTCGGATCCCACATGTGAGGGCCAGTGACACTGCCCTCCACAGCTAAGATGCTGAACAACAGCTCAACCTGGAGCTGGGCTGCCATGAGTCGCCAGCGACGGCGTAGGCTGCAGTCCCTGTGGCAGTGGGTTGCCATGGGCTACCGTATGTAGCCAGCAGCCAGCGTGAGCGGCCAGCAGCCAGCGTGAGCAGCCAGCAGCCGCAGTGAGCGGCCGTCCAGAAGCCAGCGACTGATCTGCCTCGCCAGAGAAGAGCACAATGATGGTGCCAACTTGGGCCAGTGAAGCAACATCCTCCACAACTAGATTGAAGAACAAGACGACAGCAACTTGTCTGTTCCCCTTCCCCCAATTCCCCAGCACTGTTCCCATTCCCCCAATTCCCCAATAAAAATCTTTAAAAAAAAAAATGCCACAGTAGACAAGCGTGTGCAGGATTACCTGGGATGGTGATTTTTTGTCTTGTAGGCTTGGTCGAACGCTTCTAAAACCTTTTGCTGCAAGAGAGGAATATGTAGCATCTCCGTTCAGTGTGTCTTGATTTCGATCATAGTAAGACCTCCAAGCTTTTATTAAGGGAACACAAATTGGATACAAAAATATCTACATTCACTTTTAACAGTTTTTAAAATAAAATTTATTTTTATTTCAAAAATTGAAGTTTTCTTTTTAGAAATTTCATTTAATATGCATTACTATATATGCAATTCAAGTTCACTGTGAGGTGAATGATGTGGCTATGAATATGTTTTTAAAAATTCATAACAAAGGTAATGGTTATTCAGAATAGCTTTTTTGTACCTGAGTCTGGTGAGTGAGAATCACGTCCTAAAAGAAAAAGAAAGGTTGAAATTAATAACAAGGATAAAGGAAATGAACAATCCAGTCAAGGTCATTTGCCGAAGAACACATGCACTTTTTTGGCAACGTTTTTTTCAGTTCTAAAACTCTGGGGACTTAAAATATACTGATGGGAAATTTGTACATTTATTTTCACTTCAATTAGAATGTTATTCATAGTATCACTATAATATATAATTAACACATATATCAAACACTGATTTTTCCCCTCAATAATATTGCAACCATATCATTTTATCTTATTGCCAAAGCTGAATGTATGAATGTTTAAATATCAAATTAAAGCATCGAAAGGTATCTGGTTTGTAAACAATGAATGGTTCTCCTAGCATTAAATAAACCACCAGATCCTTAGCTTTCAATGCCCTCGTGTTACTGACCATATTCAACTCCTGTGTGAGATAGTGATCAATTTTTTTGTAGCTTGAACTTTTTTTTTTAAGAAAGTGTAAATGTGTCTACCATACTATGTGATGTTTCAACTTGTTCTCTAGACTTTGGATTTTCTTCTTATTGCCATTTAAAAGTCATTTTATATTCAAATATGAAAGAGCTGTTACAGTATATTCCATTGTCTTGCAGTAAGCTGTGGAAAACAAATTTCATTACTAAGAAATTGCTTTTGATAATGCAGTTGGAAAGTGGCTTCATGGCATATTTACTATCAGTTTTATTGGACTTAGACATTCAAGGATCTTCTTTTTCTTATGCACATTTGAGATAATTAACTTGTATGGCGTGGTTCTATTATACCACGTGATTAATTTCTCATAGAATCATAAAGCCTAAACTTTGGAAAAGACCTTAGGGGTCATTCAGCTTACCCTTCTGTCCTGGTCCTGGATTCCTTCCACATGTTCCCTGAGACCATTAATAACTTGCTGTTATTTCAGTGCATAATGGAACGTGAATGTTACATGTCAAAAGGACTCTGGTTTTTGTTTTTCTTTCTAATTCTTAAGGAATACTTATTTTGAAATCAAAAATCATGAATTTGGAATGATAAAAATGAGTTGAGAAGTGTAAGAGTTTGAATTTAGATACACTCCAAATCAAAGGATGAAAAATAAATGTGAATCAGCACAGAGTACATTTGAATGACTCCAGCTCAGGTGTGTTACAGAAGACTACCAAATCTTCATTTTTTTATGCTAATTGCTAATTTAGTATGAATTTTCACTCCAGTGAATTCAAAATGAGAGTAATAAAATAGGTACCATAAAGTAAAAATCACTTTGAAGAGTTATATGTGAAATGTTTATGAGGATTTGATGGGAATAGAAATGATTGAAATTCTCAATCACTTAAATGATGATGAGGACTCTACAAAAGAGCATAGTACACAGAGCGATCATTAAAATTCTGCTTTGGGGCACTCAAGGAGAGATTTAATGACCACCTGGTTGCCACATACTGGTTGTGGACAAGGAACAAGTTTTGGGACTTGGGGAAATGGCACTGAAAAGAGAAGCAACATTAATAGTAATCATGATTACTTATAGTATAATTATTTGCTGGAGAACAGGGATTTCATTTTACTCTTGGTTTGACAAAACTGAGCTCATAAAGAAGGGTGTGTGGGTGTGTGCTGGGGATGGAGGTGGTAGGAGCCAGGTACTTGAGGTATGAGGTACCAGAGGCATTGTAGGAAGAAGAGAGTATATTGAAAATATTTGAAGTACACTTTGAAATAAACTTCCTATAACTGACAGTTTGTAGAATGTTAGTTCTGCTTTTTCTTATGGGTGACCACATTGGAGATTATGGAACCTTGAGTGGGATAAACATTAAGTGTGAGAATCGAAGACATTCTAGGCTCAACGAGGGGTTCTCCCTCCCCTCCATGCTGGGCCCAGGGATTGCCAAATGAAACAGTACCTATGCTATAGGGAATATGATATATTAATCACAAGGAATGCTACTGAAAAGCCCTGCTTAACATAGTATACATGAATGTATAGAATTACGGGAAAGGAATAAAAATGGCCAAGGATGAAAACAGGATGAACCCATATTTTAATGAAGCTTATGTTAATGGTTAAAGTCCACACCTAAATGGGTGGTCTCTTAAGGATACGCAAGTGTCCAACATTTCAGTTTATTTAAAATGAATCCAATTATAGATATTAAAACACCTAATCCTGATTTGCTATTTTATTACAGTTCTTCAGAGGCACTGAAAGATAAATACCTTCCACTTGGATATCGTTCACCATAACCCTTTTAAAATTTCATTCCTTCTACGCAAGCTTAGGAAAAAAAGGACAAGTGTGGTGGTTTGGAGCAGGTGACAGAAAACATAAAAGCATCCTGGATCCATGTTAGAAGATTATAGGCAAAAAAAATATTGAGAAGGTAAATGACTGACGTGGTAAATGCATGAGGAAAATGGTTTTGTCCAATATCTTGAACATTATTCATGATCATTGACTTGTGAAGAAACAGGGCTAGAAATCTAGGGATCAGGGCCCTAAATTTTTAGTGTTCTTTAGTAGATGGTCATTGTTTCTCTGAAAATTTAATGAGTAAATGGGCAGATTTATCATTCCTTGGTTTAGCATATAGGATCTTTAAGAATTAAGAACTGTAACTGTTCTTCACTAGTACAATGAGCGCTCTCTGTGTCCAGACAGAAGGTAGAAAATACCTGTCAGAAAAGTTGCCCATGCATCCTGGGCTCAGTGTCTGAGATTGGACTGGATGCCCTCAGAGGTCCGTTCCAACTTTGATTCCAACATTTCAGTTCCTGTTAACTTATGTGCTACATTAGACAGTATAAGCTGTACTTTTCTTGATAATTATGATGATTTTAATTCTTATAGCTCCTTTCTTTAGCGGGTTCAATTACTTTGCAAGAATTAATTTAAACATATTAATTAAATGTAAGTCAACTAATTGAAGGCTTTCTGTGTTCCTAAGTACTGTGATAAGCCTTTTCATTCATTTTCTTCAGGTACCCTCATTTAATTCTGACAAATCCTTGTGAGTCTGGGAAATGATTAAGTTCTCAGAGAGGTAAGAAAACAACAAACTCTATTTTTTTCTTTTAAAAAGGAAACAGGTTACAGACAGGCAAATTTTCCTAAGAGTGTAAAACACACAGGTAGAATTGGCAGGGCTGTCTCTTGGCACAGTGGTCTGGTCACCACAGCATACCGTCCTTATCCGTGTTACTTTAGACTGCCAAGTGGTTTTGGTAAAATGAAATGTAATTTGAAAAGGCTTATTGTATTGCTGTACTCATTGTTTTGGTTCTAGCTTAGTTTTAAAACATCAGTGTGGCCCATAAATTATCCAGTGGGACTCTATTTCTTGTAAAAGGAAAAGAGAAAGACTGGTTTAGGGGACAAATAGTTGATGACTAGCAGCTTATATTGATTTTCTGATCTGAGAGGTCAGAGAGAGGATCATAGAACCTTTTGTGGATGTAGTCTTTTACTTAAAGGCTGTGATATTTTAACATTATCTAATGCAATAAATATTTATCAGTCCCTTTTTGATTCACACAAAGGCACTGTGTGAGAAATAAGTTGTTATGAAGGCTACCATCTAATGTGAAGGGCATAAAAAGAGGCTGATTTCTTTCTTCAAAATGTAATAAAAACTTCTTTTTAAAAGGGATCATACCTTATATGTCCAATTAATACAAGAGGTTTATTTTTAATAAATTAAGTCCAAAAGGGGACTTCATTCTCTAGAAATCTTGTCAGCGATAGAAAATTTGAAATGATCCATAGCTAGTACATACTGTTATTACTGAAGATTGTTTCATATTCCTAAAGTATTAAATGTTTTCTATTATTTTGAACCTTAAGCATTAAATATTTTGTATTAAACTGAGTGATGTGAAATGGCTGATATGCTAGTGTTGACTCTCCAAAATGGCAATCTCTAGTTCAATTAAATATTATTCCTTTAGTGATTACTTTTATAAATAACAGTAATTTGGCATTGTTGAATCACTGCCACATTCCCTAGCATGTGCATCAGTGGTCCACATCTGAGTAGCCTTTTACTTGGTTGGGCTAGACTTTTACTTGGTTAAACTGTCAGAGATATTCATGGTATAGGCATTTCGATTACCTGATGGCCCTGGACTTCATTTTATTTATTTTATTATTCCCCTTGATGCACATGTGACTTAGGTATCCCATGTAAACACATTTGTAGTTTTTCTAACATTTTTTCATGCTCATATACATGAGCAAACATATACAAACACAATATATAAAGATTTTTTTTTTGTCACCAAACTGAAATCATACTACATATATTGCAATAAAACTTGCATTTTGTTAACTTAATATATTATGGAACCACCTGGCTTGGTATTTGAACTTAGACATTGAAATCCCCTTGTAGATTGGAGGTGGTGGGCAGGAGTAAGATTCTCCACAGAAGCTTGTTTTTTCCTCAGCAAAGCTGAATAGTTTAGGATCAAGTGGCTTTAAAGCCAAGGGCCTCTTGAACATTGAATTAACTACTAAATGTATGTGTATACAAGATACTGATGTGCAGGGTGAGAATTTAAAAATTATTTAAACATTCTGTGTCCCTTTCCCACTTCTGCTCCAAAACCCACAAATATAAATAAAAAACAGGGAACCCCCAAGTAACCAACCAACAATCAAACCAACCAACCAACCAACCAGTCACCGAAAGGTATATTTCCATGTTTAGAGACATTGGGGTTGCTGGGCTCACTTTGATTTTCCACGGCAGCATTCGCCTCTCAGTGTAGACCTTGTCTACAAGCTTAGGTAAAGCATGACAGACACTTGATATAGATACACCCACCTCAGTAAACGCTGAAATATCACATTCCTAATTACTTCTAGGGTATATTTGTATGTGTGGGTACATGTTAATCTTAACTGGGTCAAGATGTTTAAAAATATATATTAGAAGGATACTTGCTGACTGAATTAAAGGAAGGCTTAAGGTCTTTTTCTAAACTAGTTATTTCTTATTCTGTTTGCAACCTTTGGCAAAGAAATGAATTAATAAAGATTTACTTCCTTACAAATTCCTCTTCCTAATCCCCTATGCTCCCACCTCCCAACCGTTTTTAGGTAACAACACAACAAATGTACCTATGACTTATCCTGATTAAATATTACTTTAGTTCATGAGATACAAAAACTTAAATAGTTATTAACACTTATAGTTACTCAACACATTTTTGGCAAGTGACTATTGTTTTTAATTAGATTTTCAAAATGTTTTCTACATGATATCAGTTTCCTTTGGCTTTTCTATTTTTAGAACAAAAACATTCAGAAGGGATAGGAGCTATTCTTGAGACAAGAAAGATAAGAACTTGTGGGACATTAAAAAGGTATTTACAGCCACTTTCTTCATCCATACAGGATAATTCTGGAAAGAGAGAAAGGTCAAGTAAAGCCATTCAAGTGTGACATTCTGTGAGTTAGTGATATTATACCTGCAGTCAATAGGTTTGGAGAACTTTGAACTCTCTTCACAGATGTTAATGTAACAGACATGGCAGCGCGTTTGCGAGCACACCCACCGCTATCTGGAAGCAAAAAAAATGACATAGCAGAGGCCACAGCAAGGAGAAAGCACATGCAATATCATGCATTTTAAGTGAAATGTGCCAGACATTCATGAGAAAGATGAACAGTCAGAATTAGTAATCATGGAATCCATCTGCGAATTTTACAACCACCCCAAACTAAAGCAAAACACAAAACAAAACAAAGCACCAGGGGTCTGTCTTAAAAATAGATGCCAATGCTTTTGTTAAAAATCAGATTTTATACTTAACATTTTATGTTGTTTCTTTAATGAAAACCCAAGTATAAAACTCAACTTTGTTTATACCATTTAAATTCAACTATTACATTTATAAGCAGTTTTTAGCTTTTAGAGTTATGGCTAATCCATATTTCAGTATTAAGAGCCATAGTATAATATACTTTTGTATCCATTGCTTTGGTTTTACTGTAGTCTAGCTATAATGATTTTTGAAGATAGCTTAAAGCACCTCTTAAAGTAAGTTATTAGCTGATATAGGCATGATATATTTGATATACAGGATTTATAAAAAAATGTATAGCATTAAGGAAATCCTATGTTTACCCATAGTTATTAGTTATGGAAATAATTAGCCTAATTGAAATCAAAGACAATGTAAAATATTGAAATGACCATGTTTAAAAAGTTATTTTGTTTTTATACTTTTGAAAAATATATATCTGAGGATCTATATATTTACACTTATACAAATTAGAACATGAAGTAAAGTAACTGAAAATGTACCAACTACTATAAAGTGATATAAGTTTAGAGTAACAAGACCTCTAAAATTGGAAGGTTTGTGTTTTATTTACGAACAGATTCCAATTCTATTCTCACATTCCTTTGTATATGGAATGTGCAATAAATAGTTTTGCTCATTCCTCTGGAACCAAAACAACTTAAATTTAATTCTTATTGAAAGTTATAACAAGAAAGACAAATAGTATAACCACCAATATGATAACATAATCATTATGTATTGCCACATTCTATTCTCAGTTTTTTCCTTTTCTCTGTTTCTTAAGGAAAAGTATCCACTTTGTTTATTAGACATAAGGGAATTTAAAAGTCCCTGGAAGTATGACTTGAATTAATTATTGGTAAAATCACAAATAGTAAGATCAGTGGACCTTAAAATTGGTAGAATGATTCTCATATCAAAATATAACTTCATAAATGTTTAAAAGAACAATTTCCTGATGCAGATAATAACTAAAATGACTTGAAACAACATAAGAAAGTAAGTCATATAAATCAAAGACTTATAATTTAAAGACCAAACATAGAAAAGCATAAATGGTGGAAACATACAACCAAAGATATCTTCAAGAGAGGCACCAATAGAATGATAGCAAACTCTGCAAACTGAAAATAGCTATGAGGGATGGGTGCTTTTGATAAAACAGGAGTAATGTTATTGAATATGTGGTATATGGCAATCGATGGCCTCAAAGTGTTGGAAGTGTAAACTGATGGCTGTCTAAGAGATTTTATCTTCTAGTTCTTTTAATTCTGAATACCTGACAACAAGCAGAGAGATGAAAAAGGAAAATTTTAGAATGAGGAGATCCAGGGTCAGTGGCTAAACCCATGGTTCCCAAACTGTGTGTTGAGATGCCCTGGGCTACCTCAGGGGATTCACAAGGGTCTTGGGGGATCCTTTACATTTTTGAGGAAAACACAGTGTTAGCTATTGAGACATTGCATGAACTACTAACCTGAGGTAGTTCCCAGTTTCAACAAAAAAGATTGTGCTACCTTTTTTTAAATGATACGACATCTTTTCAAAGTTGGGTTTTGGGTGTTTGCTATGACAAAAGACAAGTAATCTGTGAAAATAATTTGGGACCAGTAAATGAGACTGGTGATCTACAATCTAATTCCAAGGTCTGAGAAGTTTTGTGGTGCCCAATAAGCACACATGTTCCATTAGTAAGTAACTGTGGTTACAAAGAATGAAATAAAATGATTACTTTTTTCAATTTAAGCGCATAATTTTTTTAATTGCTTCTGAGTTGACACAGCATAAGTACTTATTAAGTTGTTACACCTAACTACTTAATAAATGGAAGTGTTACATATTTCTTTTGGCTTGAGAGTGGGGTGAAAAATTACTGAGATATTTTGGCACTGTAACCTGAGAGAGTGTGGGAACCTCTGGGTTAAATAATTTCTGTATTCGAAGTAACTCTAAGACCTAGATGAAGTGAATGGGGAATCTGTCTTTGTTAACAGTTTAATAAAGAGCTTAATTTGAAAAGTGGAGGCATTTGTGAAATTGCTGGAATGAAAAAATCTATTCTATTTCTACTTATGTGCTGATGCTTTCTGCTATTTCTTAAAAATATTTTTTAATATCTCAAAATGAGGATATGATCTTACCTACTTTAGGTCATCCTGAAGAACCCTAATGCTACTTTCACCTTCAAACTCATTAATGACCTCCAGGGCTACAGGTCATTAACGACTTTGCACCCTCTTCTCCCCATTGCACTCATATGGGGAAATCACATTCAGTGAATTATTTGAGGTCTTTCTCTCTTTCCTTGCTTTCAGAGCTAAAATTTGCCTTAGAAAATAATGGGTCACAAAATCTAAGAGTGGAAACATAGCAGGTTTTGTATATTTTGATACATCGTTGAGATACTTTAGTATGAAAAAGGAATCACATTTCCGTTGGCTCGTTTATTATGTATTTGACTAAAACAGAAATCTTTTTTAAAAATAATCTTTTTTTAACCTTAATGACTGACACATGGATATTTAAACAGTAATATGCAGCTTTAATGATTGATAGGTAGATAATGAAGACTAATTTTATTATTAGATATTTAAGTACTAATTTCTACTTCATTTTGTAGCTACAGCAACAATGTTTTCTTCAACTTCTTACATATATATATATTTAAAAGAGGTATGTTTTTATAGCAACATAAGTATTACTTTGGAATTTTAAAGAGTTCTAGTCACTTCTAATCAATTTTGTATGTGTAAGTTTGAATATCATATTGACATGCATATGGATGTGTAAGTTCATCCATACAAGCAAAATAACTATGCAATTCAGTATTCTATATAGAGTCAAGCTCACGTCTTTTATGTGAGAGGATACTTTAGAGCAACGGTTCTCAATCTGTGGGTCGCGACCCCTTTGGGGGTCAAACGACCCTTTCACAGGGGTTGCCTAAGACCATCAGAAAACAAAAAGATATTTACATTATGATTCATAACAGTAGCAAAATTACAGTTATAGAGTAGCAACGGAAATAATTTTATGGTTGGTGGTAACCACAACATGAGGAACTGTATTAAGGGGTCGTGGCATTAGGAAGGTTGAGAACTGCTGCTTTAGAGGGTTATATTCATGCTGTTGTAGCAGTTACTTGGCTCCAGTATCCCAGAGCCTTAATCAAATTACAAATTTCTATGTGCCTACTTTGCCATTAGGGACTGAATTCTATGATTTAGGAGGACTGATTCTTCAATGCATTGTACATGGAATATGGAATCTTTAGTATAATCCCATATTATACCTCTGTCATAATAGGGTTATAATACATAGGACAATCAGCACTCTACAAAATGGAGGATATTGGGGTCTTATGGTCAATTTAAGTCTATGAGAAGATGCCTCGGAACAGTTAGTAAATGTAACTTCCTCATGTGGACATCCTGCTAGAATGACTTTGCAGTTTTACAAAATGACTCATCCTAGTTCATCGGGGGACTCTCTATTCTGTTTGCTTTCTTCAGTCTCCTTTGCCTAGTAATATTTCTGCTTTCATTTCTCATGTCTAATTCCCACACCTCCACTTGTCCAAATGCCTTTACTTGGTTCATTTCCAGGGTTATAAATTCTCTTGAATTGTAAGTCTCCCTTGTATATTTTGACTGACTCCAGTATCCTCATCTCGTCTGCTCCTCTTTAAATCTATGAGCTGACTACATCCTCAGAGGCCACCTGACCATGAGTTCTGATGTCAGGGCAGGCTTCTACTAAGAGGCAGCCACAGAATCATGGACAATGGGGCATGTCTCCACACTTGATCTAGGGAGTAGGTACTGGTTCTCACCAGTCGTCGCTAATCCTCCTTTGGCATTTTGATAACAAGAGATAGCAAGAGTCAACCAGCTCGATGTGAGAAAATATCTTGGACCATCCTTTCTCCTTTGCCATGGGGTGACTGGTTAAAACAACCTTCCAGGGACTGCTTGCAGATAGGAAACAGCATTTTTTTTAAACACAGTTATAAAATTTCAATGAGAAAATTGTTTTCCAAAAATCACTTAATACTGAATATAAAGATTTCAAGGGGAGGAAAGGTGAAAACAGATGATAAAATATTTCTATATGGACAAGAATTCATGTGTACATAACATGTATCACAAACACTTTTACAATTAATCTGTATGCAGTACAGAGCTCAGAGGCATTGATGTTGTTAGGCTATTTGAAGATACTGTTCTCATATATAAAAATATGACTTTACCTGCATTGTGTCTGTGGATTAATTAAGCTGATTTCATATGAAGCTTTGGCACTCTATCTGCTGACTGTCAACATAAAGGGTGCAGCGGTTCTCAACCTTCCTAATGCCGCGACCCCTTAATACAGTTCCTCATGTTGTGGTGACCCCCAACCATAAAATTATTTTCGTTGCTACTCTATAACTGTAATTTTGCTACTGTTATGAATCATAAAGTAAATATCTTTTTGTTTTCCGATGGTCTTAGGTGACCCCTGTGAAAGGGTTGTTCAACCCCCAAAGGGGTCACAGCCCACAGGTTGAGAACCACTGGTTTACAGGATGGGGCACTTGAAATATTTTCTACTAGAACAACTTGCCTTCGAATTTAGCCTATTCTAAGAGGGATTTCAAATATATGTATGCAAATGACATACTACCTCTTCCTAGGGTTTGTAGGGGTTAATTTCAAGACATGATTACAGTAAAAAGGAATGAGAGTAGATAAAACTGAAAATTCTGCTTCTGATTGCTATAAGATTGGAGCACAAAGACAAAGAAATCAAGTAATGAATTTAGACTGTCAATCTAATCAGAAACTCAGTATCACATTTAGGATCAGCAGAGGACTAAACTAATGATTTAGGGCCAAGATGATTTTTAGAGAGCAAGGCTGAAAAGCTTAAAACTAACAGACACAGCATACCTGTATTCATTTTGACCTTGGAGGGTTTGTTATTAAAGTCTTCAGTTTTCCTGTAGAAAAAAAATGATGTATTAATTTGTTCGCTAGCATATGGAACAAAATATAATGAAAGTGTGATTTGTTTTTGTTTTGTTTTTGGTGTACCTGAGTTAATATCACAATATCCCTCATTTTATTTAAGTCAGAGTTTAAATAAAGTGGGCCGAATTTATAATTCTATTCAAATTAAATTTTAATTATTGGTTTTATGATTAGAAAGATAAACTTATGTTTTTATTTAATGGTGACCATTAATGGATAAAAAAGGAGAGGTCTCATTAAAAAATTTCAATTTCTTTCACAAACATTTATTCAAGAGGTTTTGTTTTTTAAGCCTGAAAGGATCATTGGTCATTAAGTGTCCTCTTCTAGAACTTTAAAAGGCATGCCAGAACCTTGAAATCATTACCTTACGTGATTCAATTTATTATATTCAATTTATTACTGGGTTGATTTGTTACCAGGGACTATTTAATGTATTTAATATATATTTTGAACAAAGTCAAAGACTATGAGATTCACCTATATTTTTTTATGATGCAGGAAATAAATGGTTCCTACAAAACCCATTTCTGTTTCAGTATCAGATATATTGCATTTTTCCCAATGAAGAGTTTGATGTATAACAACTGAGATTAATTCATAGAAATGGTTGGCAGAATGGTGCTTCTTATGGGAAAAAGTTTTTTAATATTGTGTATTATTTTATGACATAGAATATGACTTAGTTTTTCCCCTGGCATATTGTTTTAGCCCATTTTGAGAGTTTCTGATTTATACGTAACCTAAGACCAAAGAGGAAAGACATGCTCTCACAGGAAGCAAATCTTAGAAGAGCGTGAGATCTCTCTGAAAGATGTTTAACCCCAGCCACCCCACCTTTGCTCTTGGGTAGGGCCTATCATTGGCTGAACATGAACTTCCCCGATACCACACACTGAGTTTCCATGTACATTAGCACTCTAACATTTGATCATTTTAAATATGTATTTATACCTTATGAACAAATGTGGATAAGGTTGAAGTGAAATAATCTGTCATGACTTGTCAAGAAGCACTTTCAATTAATATATTTTTCTTCAGTCTCTATAGAGAGCATCCAATGAGCTTCCTAGCTTTCTTGTCTTTGTCTGCCAGCATTCTTGCCTTCTCTGCCTTTTGGACCCCTTCTCCTGTCTTCATGTGTCTGCTCTGTTTATCATTTTCTTACATTATGGCCATTGAAGTTCACCTCTGAGAGAAAGCCTGCTTCTCTTCATTACTATTGTGAAATTCTAATAATAAAATCAAAATGCAAACACCAGCTAGATAGAATGCTACCTATATTCTCTCCCAGGCTTGGGAAAGAAACGGTGAAAAAAAAATCGCATGAAAAATTACACTTAAATGATATGAGATATAATTATGAACCAAGAGGAAAAGGATTTTATTTTTTATTTTTTTTATGACTAGATAGAATTACTAACAGCTTGGTACTGAACAAATACTAAAGCAATGAACATACATAATGCATATAATCACAGTACTGATATTCACGCCATTTTATTTATTTAGAGCTATAATCTGAAAACAATACAGATGATATTCTTGTTTTGCAGTGTTTTGGTATCACCTGGTTGTGTTCAGTGTCATATTCTTGCCTAGAGCTGCCACATCCTGTACCATGATATTACAGTGAATTTTGCAGTTAAAATTTCACAGACGAATTGACTTTAAAGTGTGATTAGGGGAAACTTTATTATGATTAATTTTATCCCTTAGTTTTCAGTGAATATAAATAAAAAGGCACATTCCCCCACCCCACCCCATTGTTTTTCTTTTTTAGAATACACAAAAAAATGTGGCTCGCTGCTAAGAAACTCTACTTGGTAGCCTTAATACCACCTGTACTGAAAAGATGCCAGTGAAGAAGGCAGTGGGCAGTGCAGGAGCCTTGAGAAAGCTCCATCAAACTATTTATTTTCATCTCTCAGTAGCAAAACCCCTAATATGTTAACCTTAAATGGACAAAATAAGTGGAAAAGAAAAGCCTCAGGGGATGCCTGTGACCAAGGCTGAGGCAACGGCTAAAACAAGAAGTGATAAACAGTCTCCAGAAAAACGAGGGCCATAAGGACATTCCCCAAATTCTACTGTACCATTCCTTTTCAGAACACTATGTGTAAAACTGTTTTAAGTTTTAAAACTGAATGACAAAGAGTGTTTGGGCTGGAACAATACTGATGGATAAAGAATGCATCCAACACAAGGAAGGTTAGCTATCAGAGTACAAAATCTGTTAATAAAAAAGAATAATGCTTTTATACCAAGATAGAGAACTGTCAATATTTGCTGTTTGACTTCAACTGAAATATTTACAAAATATCTGACACTCCAAAAGTAAAATAGGATTAGCAAGAACAAAAAAAGAAAGGCGCCATGAATCCTTGAGCTTTTCATCTTTAAAGTGATGTATCCTATTACTTATAAATGTAATTTGTGAGGTTTTTAGACTTTGCATTGTTTTAGATGTCAAAATGTGAAATGACTAACTTCCTAATCAGGCAAGACATTTTCCAAGTCATTAAAAGAAAAGCCATAGTGATTGGGCCCTCCAGGAGAACCTGAAACCGGAAGGCTTCTTAGGTGACTAATAAAAATGCAAGATTTTATTTCCATTATTTGTACTAAAGCCATTAATCAATCCATGACTGAGAACTCTCTTTAGACAACTTCAACTGAAGCGAATCTAATCTCTTTTGTTCTGTTCTGAAAAAACGTCTTTGATTGTACTTACATAACAAGCACAGATTATTCTGGAAAGCATCAAATTCCTAGAGTGTTTGCGTCCTACTAGAAGAGACCGTATTTCAAGTATTCTTTTAAATTGGAATTGAACCAGGGCCAAGACGGTGAAAACTGACCATAAAATGCGGACTACCTTGAACCTTAGCAGGTAGTCCATAGAGGAAAGAACTCCCTGCATTAGTGTGTCAAAATGGTGGCCAACAGGGGGTGTGGAGCGGTATGTACTTAAATTCAGTTCTTGCCAAAAAGTTTTATAAAAAAGGCAGCTTGATATGTATTCTAACTTATATTTGGTTTTCATTTGGGTCAGAGCAGGTACTGATATGCATATGGCAATAGATTGTGTCGTTTGTTCATGCACGGGCAACACCTTGATGTTGTGTCTGCAGTCTTTTAATTCTGCTTGAATTTCTTTAGACAATCAGATGACCCATTGTAGCTTATGGTTCAGCACAGCCTTTTATCCCCAACATGCATTTGACAGTACATTAGGTAATTTAACTTTTGAATGATAATCTTGTAATTCCACTTGAATTTTTTTGATTATCAGGCCTCTCATTCTGAAGAGGAGCGGAGGCAAATCCTTTCCTCAGTTTTGGCCAAGAATTCTGGATAAGCCATTTGCTTTTTTGTAGACTTGAATTTAAGCAGCAAGGCCATCTAAAAAACCATAGGACTAAGTTTCAGCTCAGTTAATGTGAGAAGTTGCCCAAAAGATTTTTCATGGAATAATTGTAACCCAATAATTCCTAAGGTTATTTTGAAATTAATTTATTCACAGTTCATATATTATTCAGAAGAAAGGACATAGTCTAAATGGTAAGAAAACATTGATGGAGGTTAGATTTTTTTTTTAGAGCTGTATCGTTTCATATTTTAAACATAAGAATTAAAAAATGATGCACATTAAGGTAATGCACCAGATTTTAACCTGAATTTACTTTGAAATGGGATCACGTGTACCACTCTTTCTGGATGAACTACCCTCAGTGGTCAATGCCTTTCTCTCATTCTCTCTCTCTCNTGCCTTTCTCTCATTCTCTCTCTCTCTCTCTCTCTCTCTCTCTCTCTCTCTCTCTCTCCCTCTCTCCCTCTCTTCCCCCTTCTCTCTGACTGTGGTAGGATTAGAAGTATTCCTAAGTGCCAAATGATTTCACTTTTTAATTATAGTCAAATGATTTAATTTAGGTTGATGACGTTTATTTTTATTTATCTTTTCTAATACTATATCACATATGCTGCTTTGAAATTCTCATGAAAATATCCCATGTAGCTCCTTTTGTCCTCTATAGTCCCTGAGTTTAAAAACAGAAGAATTCACTGCAACCCCTTGTCTGAATGGCTTCTCTAAATTGACAGCCAGTATATGATGCCAACTCAGACACCTTTGCCTCTGAGTAGGTGGCACAAATCATCACAGTGAAGGGTGAGGGCATAGTTATCTGTGCTCAGCCTCCACATAACAATTCTAAATTCCTCCCACCATTCCTGAGCTAACGGTGCCCGAAGATGGATCCTTAGTATTCAGGAGCCAAATTATCCACCACATTTATGCATGAATGCTCGGGTCAGAAGATATTCACCATCATTTCTTGGGTAAGAAGACATCGCCATGAATAGGGAAGAACAAAAGCACGAGGCCACTGATTATTTTCATAAGAATATAGAGTATTCTTTTTAATTGTACCAAATTTCCTGATACCTGGAAAAATTTTCCTGAAGAATAGCACCAGATGTTTTTCAAGGAAACTAGCAATTTGCCTTTTGAGTCTTTACAAATGCAAGCTAGTCAGAATACTTACAGATTTTCCTTAAAGACCTTACTGGTTAGAAGAAGCTCATAACCTGGTAGATAGTTCTCCTTCTGATGATTTTCCTAAGTCTGTGAATCAGTCTCTTATTTAACTATAAAGGAATTCCGACGTCTTTGCACATTAAATGGTGTTGACATTTAATATTGCTCTAGCATCATACTTTTGTGGTATCCTTTACTTTGGTATTGTAATACTTAAGGATGATTACAGGATATAAGTAAATACTTACAAATGCATCTTTTTTTTCTAAGACAAAGTCATTTGTGTAACTTGATACTACAGCACTAAAAAATTCTACTGGCTTCTATTATGTAAATCAAAAGCTAAATGGATTCCTAAAGAAAATAAATCAGAAACCTAATTAGGGTCTGCTGATTCAGGCACATTAGCAGACACATGTGAGGAATCAG